CGGGCTCCCAATCTTTTTTTTTTTTTAGAGCTAATCTGAGAAACAACAACAAACAACAACAACCTGCAACCGGTCGCCCCGGTGGTCTAGAGGGTTNAGCGTTCCCCGTTCTCCTTTTATTTTATTTTGATCGGTCTCCTCGACGCTCTTTCTCGTTTGGTGCGGTAGCTGGTCTTTCTTTCTATCATTTTGTTTCTCTTCCGAGTGGTTTTTGTACCCTATTTTTTTCTGTTTCTTCGTGGGGTCGTGTATGCCGGGTTTTGAGACCACGGGCTCCCAATCTTTTTTTTTTTTTAGAGCTAATCTGAGAAACAACAACAAACAACAACAACCTGCAACCGGTCGCCCCGGTGGTCTAGAGGGTTGCCTCGCAGCCTGCTAAGGGCCAGGTCATGGGTTCGAGTCCCGGCAGAGAGTTTTTTTCTCACGAAATAAATCCTGGTCTAGGATGGAAGCGACGCGCTGCAAAGCTCGTATGTTAGTAAACCATAATCGACTTCGTAAGTCGCGAGGGAAGGGATTGCTGTACCCTTCTCGCGATAAAAATACCTCAGGCATGAACCGCAGGAGGGGGTCCAACCCCCCCCTCCTATGTGACCCCGGTTGGGTCGTCTAGCTAGTAGAAGTGGAGGATAGGGGCCAGAGGGGCAGACGACATAGTCCAATGACAGAGTCCAATGATGGGAGAAAAACAAAAAACAAAACCTGCTGCCCGTGAAATTCAAAAATCTATAGGTTTGAAAAACGAGTGATGTACTGCTGTAGCCTTTTTTCCTTTCCTTGCTTACTTCTTTCCATCTTCCATGATTTTTACATCAATATTATATATTTCTCCTTAAATCCCTAAAACCAGCAAGCTGTCAATAGACACTGCCCCGTGTCCCCTGTGAAGGTTACATCTTATTGCAGTACACGACACTACGGAGGGATTCTCCCCGATATTTTGTCGTTGACCCAGTAGAGAACTACAGGGGATGTATTGTAAAATGTAGATTTACCTATACAGATGTGTTTGTACTTAGCACCAGCTGGCATCACTGATAAATCATCAGTGTATAGACTTATAAAGACTCGAAATAAGTCCAGTACCCAGCCGTTTTTCCTCCACTCACTGAAAAGACTCCACCACATCCCGTTCGACTGTGGGTGTATCTCGAATGGGTAGTCTTTCTGTGCATGTATTTATTTCTCCTGAAGTATGAAATGAGCCGTTCGGTTCCAAATATTTGGCGCCAAAAATTTGGAAATTTTGGAACAAAAATTTGGAATGTATAAAACGGCCCTAATGCAGCCGTCAGGGCAGAATTGGGGATCCAATCCCTACGGTCGGGAAGAGACGCGAGGAAGCTGACATGGCAGTATCGCATGTGCGGGATGGGA